TCACATCCCTTTTGGAGGCTGCTAAGCTGTACATTTTAAAGATCACATTTATCTCAGACCTCAGAGATACTTTTTCAGACTTGTTCTTTAGGATATGCCTGCAGGGCAGACGTTGTCACCGGAGTGCAGCAGGTATGGCCCTGGGACTTCAGTCACCTTTTGCAAACGCGGTGCTTGCAACTCCAGCTCCAACTAGGTTGACGGCAGTTCATTCTCCTGAGTAGCAGTGCTAATGTACGTCTGGAGGAGGACGTTTCTGTACAAAGTGGCTCACGGTTCAAGTATGAACTCTTAATTAGAAGGAAGAAACCTCTGTGGTTTTCAAATACATTTAATGAATAAAATGTATACCCATTATTCAGATAAAAATAACTTTACAATTCAAAAGTCATACAGCTGACAAAACACAGTAACAGGGTTGCAATCAAAAAACGTGACCCTTCAACCAAAAAACCCTCCAAAAACTCCCCCAAAAAACAAAACCTCAAACCAACACTCCCCACCTTCCCCTGGATTTTCATGTAACCTGACCTTCACACAAAGGCTTTTACTGTCACTTTTCATGTCATGAGCAAAAAGTGCCATTTCACTTGCAATGGGATGAATTTTCAGGTAAGCGTTCAGTGAAAAAAGGTTTAGATTATACAGCAAACTTTAAATTTTGGAATTCTGTTCAACTCTTGCCATGGCAGCAAGAAGGGAGAAGGCACAAGGACTTCTGCATGAAATCTTGAATCTTAATTTCAAGGTACTCCCTCAGTTTAGAAAAAATGCAGTTGTTTCCAAAAGGTGGCCCTCCATGGTGAATGCTTTTTGTGGCACAGCTCAGTGCTGCTGTGCCGAGTTTCCCCTCTGCTGTGGTGGGTGCCTTTTAAAAAAGAAAGCGAAACAGCCATGTATTTGGAAAAGTAATAATCGAGCTGTATTTAAAAGAAGAAAGAATCTCCACTACTGCAGCGTGGCTACTGCTGGTAAATGTCTTTTTAATGGCTACTTTTTCTCAGCCATTCTCTTCCTACGTAATTACACTTTGCTAATATAGTACAAAATCTATTAAAAACCATAAGCCAAGTTCTATATGAGTACAGTGGTAGATCTTTAAATGGATTTACTGTAAATCTCAATCTATTTTCACCTCCACCTGCCAGACACAATGGATAACAAAGATTAAAAAGGGATAATTGTAATATTCTTCCCCTTCCAGGGAAGAGAAAGAGCAGCTATAGTCTATAAATTTTGCTCTATATTATGAAACAGTCACTTCTAAAATTTTTAAAGAAATCTTTTGCAGATGCAGACAAAATATAAATTTCTTTCTGATAGAAAAAAAAAGTAGTTTGAGGCAAATGAGATCAAGATGATGAATCTTTTTAACATTTGCAGAGACACCAGCTACTGCCTTAGAAGCAGTGGTGTAGGACCGAAGGATGAGAAGGCTCAGCAGGGCCACCTGATACTGCTCCCACTGTGGCAGCCAGTGTTAAGGGCTTCATCAGTCACCTTACACCACTTTGATCAAACCAATACAGCCAAAACAACGGAGCCTTTTTTGCCTGCCAAGGGCCCAACCACTGCCTTCCTGTGTGTCCTAAATGGAGCTGAAAGTAAATCCTAAATACTCCGCAAGTGAACTCTTTACTTCGTGAACCAACTTTGGTTTAGGAGCACATGAAAAGACAGAAGTAGCAGCCTAAAGGGATTTCGTATCTGCTACTGTAAAGACAAATTAAGAAAACCCCACAGGACTGGCGGCTCTGCGAGAAACAAGGCAGTGCCTGACTGACGTGTTCAGTGGCAGAACACTTGGCAGACCAGGAGGTGGTTGGATTGAGGCTGGGAACTCAAGAACTAAGATTGAGGCTTTGACCCCAACTTGCAAGTCTTATTTAGGTACAACAGTGCTCCCTGGTCGACTGATTGCAGATGCCATCTGTGCAGCAGCATTAGGCGGGGTGAATTAAGGACAGTTTCATGCAGATTTTCAGCAGTAACTGTCCACAGAGGGCCAAGGAAAATGCTCACAAATTAAAAGTTGACACCAGACACTGTCACGACAATCTCATCTACTCGTTGCTGAAGTCCTTTACGAGGTCACTCCTGAGGGCGGAGAGATGATACTTACTATCCTGTATAGCTGAAGTATCCCATGTCTGAGGTGCAGAAGAGGAGAAGTTGTCTAAAAAGATGCTGGCACTGCTGAAGTAGTGAAGAAAGAATTTCTAGCGCTCAGCCTTGGCTGCAGAGTTTAATTTTAACTGTGTTAAAAATAGAAGGAAATGATAGGAACCTTAACTAAAAAATTTACAGCTAGAATACTCATGCTGCGATCTCACTGCGGCCCCTTTCCACTCCACTTCTGCGCTGTGGTGTCAGCGTGCTGCAATGTTCTCATTCTGTTCTGAGCACCCCTCTACCTACACGCTTTCACAACCACTGACCTCAGCAGCACCTTCTCAGTGATTTATGGCCTTGTGTGTATGCTCAACACGTTTGTTTTTTTCAGTAAAGAAAAACAAAATGGGTTTTCACTCAATTCTATTCTCAAACTGTGTGAGGGAGAAGATGGAATAACATGCTGGTGGTCTTTTTGCCCTTGTTGCCTACATCTTCCTTGCAATGCTGTTTACAAATACTCCAAAGTTCATTGGATTCCGCTTCACGTAATGGCCATATAAAACCAAGTTACATCAGATAGGAAGTCAAGCTTTATTGACCCAAATGCTTAGGAGCTTACCTGCATTGGGTTGGGTGTTCAGTGCAAGTCATCCCTGTCCCCCTACAAGCTGCAAACTTTCAGGTAATATATCGATAGAGAGAGAATTCTGTTGTGAAACACTGTGAGGAAGGCAATAAAACACAAAATCCTAAGTTGTCACAACCTGTGATTCGCTACACCTTTCTCTGCCCATTGTGATGGCAAATTTAAACTCCCATCTAGAAGAGCTACTGGACCAAGCCAGATCAGTAATAAGGAATGGCTGCAGCGGGATCACAAAACCTCCAGAAATGCTCCTTCCTTCTGACTGTGCTCCAAGACACACCCCACATCGGGCTGTACAGCCTGAATTTTAACTGTAGTAAAGCCAAACCTGCAGCAGGGAGCAAAGTGCTCAGGTGCTGCCATGAGGCAACAAAGATGTGACAGAAGGTAGGGCTTAGTGAGCAATGCAGTTGAGTGTCATCTTTATGAGTACTGAGTCGTCCCTCTAGGACTGTCCTAGTCCCAGACCCTTAAGATCTCTTGTATAGTGTACAGGCATTCCACAAGTACCTGCAGCATTGGCTGCAGGTTACAGAATCATGGAATCGTTTAGGTTGGGAAAGACCTTTAAGATCATCGAGTCCAACCATTAACCTGGCACAGCCAAGTCCACCACTAAATCATGCCCCTAAGCACTATGTCTACACGTCTTTTAAATGCCTCCAGGGATGGCGACTCAACCACTGCCCTGGGCAGCCTGTTCCAATGCTTGATAACCTTTTCAGTGAAGAAATTTTTCCTAATACCGAAGCTAAACCTGCCCTGGTGCAATTTGAGGCCATTACCTCTTGTCCTGTCGCTCGTTACTTGGGAGAAGAGACCAACACCCACCTACAACCTCCTTTCAGGTAACTGTAGAGAGCACTAAGGTCTCCTGTCAGCCTCCTTTTCTCCAGGCTAAACAACCCCAGTTCCCAGTTCCCTCAGACGCTCCTCACAAGACTTGCGCTCTAGACCCTCCATCAG